GGTGAAAGCAGGTAAGAAGTGATATGGAGCAGAGATTGACTCAGCTTTCAGTAAACACATAATTATATTCCACAAATTTTGTACAAGGTAAATTTAGATGGATAAGATTTTTTTTTCCACCTCTTCAAAAAATAAAAAAATCAGACAATGCACTCTGATTTTAAATATGTTTAAACAGAGAATCCTTCCAGTGTAATAAAATAAGATTAAATTTATCTTGGACTCGTTGGTTCACTTCAAATCTCACAGAAGCATATTACCACCAAAATATTTTTAAGTGTATTGGAACTGAGGTCAGATTGGAATTCTACTATCTACTATTGGGAATCGACCTACTTCAGAGGGTGACAGGAAGCCCTTTGAAGCCTTCTTTCCTCTGTGGATTGTTTTCCCACACTAAGCCCAATGTCTGGGAACCCTGGCAGCTGGTTACTGCCTGGGAAGCAGCTGAAAGCTGACTCATGGTGAGGATCAGTGATCACTTCTGCACCAGCAACTGCTCCATCGCTTGGTAATGGTTTTCTGATCATTTAATATGACAAGCTCTTACAATGTGGCACTCTGTTTCTCTGGGGTCAGTTATTACACATGAACCTGCACTTGAGGCAACAGTAACCATTCATTCTGTCAAGAATGCAGTATTCTGATTTGTGACCTTCTAGTGGGACAAGAAGCAAATGGTCACACACTACTGGTCCAAGAGCATTCTGGGAGTTTTGCTTTCAGTGATTAAGCAAAATGGTGGCTTCATCCGTTCTTGTAAGTGTTTAAATTATCCCACAAGGAGTTTTCTGTAATCTTCATTACTTTCATCTCTATAGCAATTGTCTCTGGCAAGTTCAGGAGTTTGCCTTCCACTGACTAAAGCAGGTCACAGAAAACTGGTGACATATACACTGGGTCATCCCCCAGATTTTCTCCTACTACCCAAAAGAACAGAGAGAGAAAAAGCTTACACAGAGTACCAGAAATGCTTTGTGGAGAAATAATGGGCCTCTGAAAGAATTAGTCTTAAATTTATTTCTTTAAGGAAGATCTTGGCACAAAGAAATCAGATGTTATGCCCATGTTCTTCCCATACAGAAGGGGGAATGTGCTGAGATGGGAAAGAATAAGAGTTTCCAAAGATGTTCGGGCCAGAATACTTGATATAGAATCTCCTGAAACTCACATATAGAAGCAAGATTCTCCTTCTGGTCTAGCTAATGATAAGATCACATCTCTTTCTTGCCCAGTAAGGTTCTGACACGAAACCTTAAATTTTACCCATTCTTCTTTTGAAATCAGAAAGTGTGGCCCCTTTGTAATAACTAAGCAATCCAGATTAGCTCCAGCCTCACTAAGGATAGGCTTTAGTGACCTTCGCTCACTCCACTATAGATTTGTCTTGCTATAGATGGTTAAGGCTGAAGACCAGAGCTTGATGGCGATCTCGATTCTAATCCTGGAGCTACTGATTATTATTAGTTGTAGGATATTTGGAAAATTACTTAAACTCATGATTTCCCAATTTCCTTATTTGTAAAGCAAGGACAATCAATAGTGTCCACCTAAGGTGTTAATGTAGACATGAACTGAATTAGCTTATGCATGGTATTTAAAACAATGCTTAATAAATATTTCCTGATATTATTGGATCACCCTCAGTAAATATAACCCAGGTGAGTGTGGCAATGATATGAAAGCCATGTATACCATCTTTGTTATAAGGTCTGCTGAGTGCTTGGCATTGGCAACCTATATTAGAAAAGGGAAAATTGTTCTTTTGCTTACCTTTTTAAAGAGTGTTAACCCTTACTCTCAATGTAGCTCTTTTTTTGGGAGAGGATCTCAATTGGACAGTGATCAAATCTTCTCTGGGGACTGTTCCTACTGGCTGCAATGGCTACCAGAGGGAACAAGATATTTCCAGTGCATGAGTGGCTGAGGCCAAGCTCTGGCTGCTGAAGTCAGGGATTGCCAAGCAGCAGCAGTCCTTAGGCATGCCTCCAGAACTGGCCATTGCTGTTATAATTCCATCAATCAATTCCTTAGCATGTCCTCTACTCATGCCTGCCCAAGGTCTGAGCAATCAGTCCATTTCTCAGACACTTTTCTTAATAAGCTAATGGGAAGAGCTATGAGTGCAGCTGTAAGTTGCCTCCAGTTCCATTCGGGACCCCAAGTGTCCCCTCCTTTACTCCACTGCATAGCCCCTGCCATATTGAATCTTGAGTGAGCAAACTCTCATGGCTGTGCTGTGAGTCAGACAGGGGCTCTTAGGGTCTAAGTCAGTGAAGCAGAGTTATCCAAGGTCAGAGAGGTAGCCAGTCCCAGCCAGAAATAGCACTCAGGGCTGCTGACCTGAAGGCTCCTGCTCATTACTCGTGGCCAGGCCACCTCCCCTTGACTGCTAAGTGCATCTTCATCATAATGTGCACCCTAATCAGGCCCCTAAATTGAGCTGATGCAAATGTAAATACGGTTTCTCGAAACACTCTAGCAGTAATGTTCCATTCTCTCTTTGCTACAAATCAAAGTAATGAGCAGTCTGTTTTTTTTAAATTTCTTTTTGTATTAAGGTTTTAATAGAGAGATAATCACAGGATTGGAAAAAATCCAAGCCACTACGATAAAACACTTAAAACTTGGGAAGAATAAATTAAAGTAAGAAAGTTAAAAATCATAGAGAACAGGGAATACAATATGGTAGTTGGGAGGAACCCAGAGCTAGGTATAGTTCCAAAATATTGATCTGTATCATTACTGCCTCCATTTCTACATACCTCTTCTAGGACATTGGAAGTCTCTTAGGAAAGCAAAACAAGAAACTAAATAGATGTCTTTATTGAAAAAAGAAGAGAACTTCATGTTCTGGGCAAAGTTTGCAAATATCTAGAACCAAAGTATAGCCAAAGCTGAAAACCAAGAAGGTATCGGGTAAGAGGGGATAAAATTAGATGATGCAGTGAATGAATGAAGTTAAGAAGAAAGAACTTTTCAGCAGGCACCACAGCAGTAATGTTAAGGAAAAACAATCTGCCTGGTGGCAGTGAGGACAAAAGCCAAGATCTGGTGATAATTTAGATGCGAAGAGAGTGAAAGATGAAAAGAACGAGTA